TCCTCTCCTCTATAATCATGTAAACCCATTCCCTAAATAATTCTCCTCCTAAGTTGGTTCTGCTTCTCTGGAGAACCCTGGCTAATACTCTGAGGGAGAGGAGGTAAATGCATAGAGTGTGTCAAGAACATGGAAGAGACGTCACCAGTTAGTGTTCTCTCCCCAGACTCCTGCACCTCTGTGACTTGCTCATTGAACTCCCTGAAGGAGGGTCTGGCCCTCCTAATTTCTGATCATGCCCACAGTTCTAAGCCTAGATGGCAGCTCAGTGCAGGAAGGTGTAGCATAAAGTTATGAGATTTAGGCTTCAGGGCTCCTCCTTGCAGGCCCATTAAAGGGCTGGGGGTTTTGCTGAGAATTGTAGAATGTTCTGCATGAAGACGGGAAGACAGATAACAAGGAGAAAGCATTTCTGGTGAATGAATTCCTGGTAAATTGCCTAAAAAGAGCTCAGAGGAAAGAATCATGAATCTCTAAGGTGCTAGGAATCTCCTGTGACTTATTTTCTCATTATAAATAAATATTCACTGGTATATCTAATTGGGTCTCCGGATTCTTGTAGTTTCAGCAGCATCCCAAAATTGTATCGATTCTAGGCCCCACAAAACCTAGAGCATCCCTAAGACCTTAGTTCACCTACAAGGCTTAAGAATTCCCTCTTTTACTATTTCCACCCTGGTCTCTGCTCAGACACTGAGCAACAGTGTGAGATTTCTACCTTCCGAGGTAGTTCACTCCAATTAGAAACATTTTTTACCCTATTTACTGAAAAATGCCAATGGTGACTCTGTGTCCCTAAACTATGTGGATCGCAGGTCTCATTTCTGTTCCTTGGACCACGCAGAATACACACCGTCTCCAAAGCCGTATTCCAGGCCACACACCCCTGCATTTAGCCCCACTCATCTGCCCACTGCAGGTCCTTCTCTGACTGGTGCTTAGAGCTGAGCCGAGCCCTTCAAGTGCGATCAGACTGACCACAGCATGACAGGTGCGTTACCACGCTCCAGTAACGCCGGGCAGTTTCCCCTTGAGAAAGAGGGCCCGCCCTAAAAGATCCCAAGTCAAAAGCTGGTTTCCCATAATAAATAGTGGTAATGAACTTCAATGTGACACTTCCAGGGCCAAGACTGTTGCCGCCAATTCACTGCCCATCCGTTGCTGACTGAGGAAGCTGAGGCTTAAATAGGACCACAACACAAGGCACTGCAAGGAAACTAGCTCCATCCTGCATTCGCCTGATGCTGCCTTTCGCACGGAAGGTCACAGCTGATATGGGGACACATCATCAGGTTCCAGTATGGGACATGGGTTGCAGTCTGCAGGCAGGGCCTGTGCCCTCAGAGAGAACAGGGGAGAAAAATAGTGCCATCTTGTGACTCCCTTCTTTGCCTGCCTCGCCGTCTCACAGGCTGGCTTCCACACTGCCTTCTCTCGTAGTTTCTTCTTTGAGATGGGGTCTCACTCTGTCGCCCAGGCTGGAGTGTAGTGGCACAATCTTGGCTCCCTGCAACCTCTGCCTCCTGCGTTCAAGCTATTCTCCCGCCTCCACCTCCTGAATAGCTGGGATGACAGGCGTGTGCCACCACGCCCAGCTAATTTTTGTATTTTTACTAGAGACAAGTTTTCACTATGTTGACCAGGCTGCTCTCGAACTCCTGGCCTCATGTGATCCACCCTCCTCGGCCTCCCAAAGTGCTAGGATTACTGGCATGAGCCACCGCATCTGGCCCTCTAATAGTTTCTTTGAATCATAATCTTGGCGCAGTCATGGCAGTGCATTAGCTCATATGGTTGAAAGGGCTTAGGGGATAAGTTGTTTCCTCTGTTCTAGCCTATACACAACCCCCCCCCCTTTCCCAATCAAAGAAGGAATAAGGCCGCAGTGCCCCCTAAAAGCAGTTCTGAAACTAGAAAGGACTTTCTTAATATCTTGGCCCCAGGATAAACAAAGACCCTCTCCGGATATGCAAGGTATGTTACCGAAAGCCAATTCAGCAGTAGGAACAGCAACAGAATAAGCACGGCCCCAGACACGGCTGGAACATCCTCAGGGTGCCGATGCCTCCAGGAACTGCTAATTGGCTCTCTGACTCGAATGTACACACACACACACACACACACACACACACACTCCCATGCTGCAGTGGCAGCCAATGGTGGGCTTTCCTTCATGGTGCAGTTCATTCTTATTGTAAACTGAGGCACAGCCGTGGAGCTAGCAGAGGCCTGAATAAAAAGCTTGTGCTAACTGAAACAAGTAAGTGCAGGCAGCTCAAGCAGTTTCTATACATACACTCTATATGCTGCATTTATCAAGTGAGGAAATCTTAAACAAGCGGAGCTATTTCGGGCGTTTTCCCACCCTGCTTGCTCTCCCTGGCGAATGTATCTTGATTTTGTCTTAGGTCAGCAGCCTGAGGTTAAAGAGCAAGCCAAGTCAAGTGCCACCACAGACACAGCTCTCAGTTACTCACAGCTTCTCAGTGGTAGTGCAGTGGAATTACTATTTGTGATCCAGCATGACCTGTGAAAATTTAGGTTTAACTGGAAGAGGGCTAATCGCTAACAACAGTAAAAGGCTAAATTTCACTTTTCGGAAACGAGCCAGAATCGATCAAATGGGCAGATTGGTTTTGACAGCTCGTTGCCCGAGTGTCACAAAATAAACAAAACTGGCTAATGTATCCTGTCCTGGAAGACCAAGCAGATGATATTTTATGCTTTTTAGAATTGACTGAGAAGATACAAAACAGCACACGAAAACAACTATTAAAATATCCCCCGTGCTCCTCCAACCCCAAACCTATCAAAGTCCTGGTGAACCAAAGTCACTCTTTGCTGTTTTCCATCCACCCACCCACCCATTCAGTCATCCCCTGACCCATCCACCCTTCCAACAAGGATTTGCACGAACTTTTCATGAGTCAGAAACAGATAGGATGAGTCACATAGATGGGAATTTGCTCTCTACAGTGTCTCCTCTCTTTTCTTCCTTGTTTTGGTCAATTTAAGGACCTAGGTTCATGTTATCACTTGTGATCTCAGGACTGCCAGAGAGAAGGGCACCAGGCTCTGGTCAATCAGACTCAGTTTCTCAGAACTATTTCTGAGACAAGTGCCAGGATCAGAAAACAGGGTTAGATAATTGGCTGAGATGGCTGTGGACAACCCATAAGTCACCAGGATATCACATCCGAAGCTGAACTGGGCCAAGAAAGGTCACACACTGTGGGGAGGAGTCAGAGTCTAGAGGAAACAAACTAATCACAGAAATTTGCTTTTTCTATTGCAAATAATGATTTTAAGCCACACCACGCTTATCTTAATTACTCTCTGTCAACTCAAGGTTTTTAAAAAAAATTTGGTCATGAGAGGAAAAGGAGGCTAGAAAAAATAACAGCAGACATTAATACAATGGCTTGAAATCAAGGCAAACTTGGTCAACCATGGAAAACTTTTATATGTAGTTTAAAAAGCAATATGCAAAGAAAAAAGTGCGTGCCACAGAAGTTCAGTAACAATTTTTAAGCGTTGTTTTCATTTGCATCCTAGATCATGGCTATCTTCTGATTTGACATCGGCTCCTCAGACTCTTCAGTAGCTTGGACAGGGGCCAGGTACATCCTATAGTTGGCCTTCTAGGACTTGACGCCAATTATCCATGCCGGAGCAAAAATTAAGACAGTCGAGGCATTCAGGGTAATTCTGTAACATGTGCATGTGGAAGTGTGGAGGGCATTCTGTTTGGATTTCTCAAACTGCTGTACCCACGGAATGAGGCAGGTCAGACTTCAATCCCAGCTCTGCATTTTACCTAGTTTGAATCTCTGTCACCTCGTCTGTCAAATGAGCATAATACCTCACTCACAGTGTTGGGCTGGTTTTGCCAGCACAGGTCTATCATGTCTCCGTAAAGGGTCTTGGGGAACAAAGTAGCCTCAAGGGGAGACTGAGGAAGTTCCACTGAAGCTGCATTCAAATCACAGGCTTTCACTTTGATTTAATGTTCATTTGGGAGAATTATGAACTTATTGTGGAGACTGTAGCCCTTTTGGGTCACTTCTTATCTACCTTAGAAGTCAGCAAACTTTTGATTTTTTATTTTTTTGAGACAGAGTCTTTTTTATTTTTTATTTTTTTTGAGACAGAGTCTTGCTCTGTGGCCCAGGCTGGAGTGCAATGGTGTGCTCTCGGCTCACCACAACCTCCGCCTCCAGGTTCAAGCAATTCTCCTGCCTCGGCCTCCCAAGTAGCTGGGATTACAGGTGTGTACCACCATGCCCAGCTAATTTTTGTAATTTTAAGTAGAGACCGGGTTTCACCATGTTGGCCAGGCTGGTCTCGAACTCCTGACCTCATGATCTGCCCACCTTAGCCTCCCAAAGTGCTGGGATTATAGGTGTGAGCCACTGCGCCTGGCTAGAAATCAGCAAACTTTTTAATGTAAATGACCAGAAAGTAAATATCGGGCAATATTGTCCCTCTAGTAACTACTCCCCTATGTGTTGTGGTGTAGAAGCAGCTGTGGACAATATTTAAACAACTGAGGATGGCCACGTTTCAAAGAATATTTATTTGCAACACCACATAGCAGACCAGATTTGATTCATGGACCACAGTTTGCAGACCCCAAATAACACAGGACCCATATCTATAAGATCTATAGTATACGTCTATGAGATAGGATATATATAGTTTTGGGTTTTTTTTCACAATATCTAACACATAAGATGTGCTCAATATATACCTTTCTGGCTACTTTGTCTTGACAGTATCCATGACTCAAAATCACATTTATTCATTCAACAAATTTTGTTTTAGTGCCGTCTGCATGCCAGGGTCTATTCTTATCACCAAGATACAATAATGAACAAGACACAGTGCTTGCTTTTATAGAGGTTATATTGAGGAGGTGAGGAAGGAAGAAAGGGTGGGAGGAAGGAAAGGAAGGAAGGAAGGAAGCCATCAGCTCCTGATAAGTGCTATGCACACAAGAAATAAGACGCTATGGAAAGAAAAATGATAGCATAGCCATTTTTATGGGACCGACATCTCAGAGCAGGTGACATTGAGCTGAACTCTGGAAGAAGAGAAGGAGCCATGAGGCTGAGATGAGGAGAAGCCTTCCAGACAGAGTAAGCAATGAGAAGGAATGCCATAGGGTGGGGATGAAACTGTCTGACCTAGAAAAGGAAGAGGGCAGGTGACTGAGCTCGGAAGGCAAGCAGGGGAGGGCAGAAGGCAAGTCAGAGTCAGGCAGCCATCAGATTACTTAGACCGGCGCTGTCCGGTGGAAACATAATGTGAGCTACACGGGTAACTTAAAATTCTCTAGTGTATGCATATAGATAGAGTCTATCTGTCTATCTGTCTATCTATCTGTAGGTCTGTCTATCTATTTATCTATGTATCATATTATCTATCTGTCGGTGTGTCTGTTTATCTATCTACCATCTGTCTGTCTGTCTATTAGATGTAGATATGCATAGACACAGGAAAAACTAATTTTAAAAATGGATTTTTGGTGGCTGGACATGGTCTTGCATGCTTGTAATCCCAGCACTTTGGGAGGCTGAGGCAGGTGGATCACTTGAGGGCAGAAGTTTGAGACCAGCCTGGTCAACATGGTGAAACCCCATCTCTACTAAAATACAAAAAATTAGCCAGGCATGGTGGTGCACACCTGTAGTCCCAGCTACTCAGGAGGCTAGGGAGCAGAATCACTTGAACCCAAGAGGCAGATAATACCATAAGCTGAGATTGCACCACTGCACTCCAGCCTGGCAACAGAGCGAGAACTCTGTCAAAAAAAAAAAGTATTAACGAGATAATTTTTATTGTTTTATTCATGCAAAGTCTTCTAAATCTGGTGTGAGCGTCATAGTCATGGTACACTCCAGTGTGGAACAGCCCCGTTTCAAAAGGAGCCAGGAGCTGCCAAATCAGGCAGCATTTATTTAGAAGTTTGTAAGGTAGGATAAGAGCTTGCGTTTTCACTCCAGGTTCTTGGAGGGTTTGAGCAGGAAAGTAATATGTTCTAATTCACCTTTCTGAAAGACCCTTCTTTGTGGACTCCTTTAGAAGAATGAGTTAAAGGGGGACTCTAGGAGAAAAGTGAGAGGAGAATTGGGAAGTGACTGGCCAGGGGCAAGCGAGGGAAGGTGTTGGCTTGATTGGGTGGGTGAGGAGTTGGAGAGGGTGGATTGGAGATGTTGAGCCCAAGGTGGTTTGATATGCAAGGTCAACACCTGCATATTTTGGTCCCGGAGTCAGCGCCTGTGTGTACTAGGAATGCTCCCTGTCATATCCACACGGATCCCCAAAACAATTATCATTCAACCATGTCATGTAATACCATGAGAACTCTGCTGGTCTTTGCTGACAGAGGTCCCCAGAACCAGGTCAAACAGGAATGAAGGAAAGAAGAGAATTAGCGCACCAGGTGACTCATATTGATTCTAGCGCAGGAATAAGACAAATTGTAGCCTTCTTTAGCCCTACGCTAAACATTTTCCTCCCCATTTTCTTCCTTCACAACGCCTGCCTGGGGCCTACGGTGGAAGCCTCAGCTTCTTAGAATCCTGTCCCTGCTGCCTTCCTCTGCCTCATCTCAGCCTTGCCTGAGTCACTGCAAATAATTCTCACCCTTTTCCTTACCCCTTTCCAAAAGAAGCAGCAGATGTCCCAGCTCTCACCCATCTCCAGTCTCAGCTGCTCACTGGCCCAGTCTCAGCCAAGAAACCCCAGAAGAAGAAGAGCCAGGCTGGCAGAGGGAAGGAGGTGGCTGCTGGGAGGAACTGCAGGTGGTTGTGGAAGTGCACAAGCAGGGTGGAAGCCAGAATAGGACCCAAAGCAGAGGCCAGGCACAGACCTAAGCAACCCATAGAGCAAACACGCTTCCAGCCTTCTCTCCACTCCCACGCTTAACCATCATGGAAACGCGTCCTGCTTCCAAGACGCTTTACAACTTGCTGTGTTCTTCCCTGTATTTGTTCCACTGAAATAATTCAGAAAGGATCCTGGGGTGAGCATTTTTGAGAACAATTTCAGGAGAGGGAACTGAGCCCAACTGACATGTCCAAATCACACATCCTGGAAGAAATAGAATTAGGGACTCCATATCAACCCTCCTTCTCATCACACCCACTAACAGCAACGAGTCTGTGTGGCCATGGCCAGGAGCCAGCTGTGCAAAGCCTGCCATGAAGCACACAGGGAATCACAAAGCAATGGCTCCGAGTCTTCCCCACTGTGGGTGGAAGTCATCGAGGTCATGCCCTGTAGATATCAAGCATCTTTTCTTTTCTTGGGTCTCCTCGTGTTTGAGTTTCAGTCCACGTATTTAAATAAATGAACCACTATGCTGAGCTGAAAATATCAGTGGCATCTGGGATCAGTCTTAGAATGAGGAGTCTGGCCAGGGCAGTATGGAAAATGTTTTCCATAAAAATATTTAAACGTTTATTTAAATATTTCCAAGTTAAGTTGATCGACTTTAAAATGCATGAGAAAGGCAACACAAAAATCAAATGCCCTAAAACAAAAAAAACAGCTAAATTACATGAGCTATTTATTTTCTTTTATTTAGATTTCCTGTCAAGAGACAAATCAGAAAAGATTTTTATATAGACTTTCCCTCCCTTGTCTCCATCACAGAAGTGCCATATGAAAATAACTTAACATCAATCAATGCAGCACTTGGTGTGTATGAGGCACTAGTCTAAATGTTTTACATTAAACCTGACAATATTTCTACAGGTAAAGATACTACAGGCCGGGCGCGGTGGCTCAAGCCTGTAATCCCAGCACTTTGGGAGGCCGAGGCGGGTGGATCACGAGGTCGAGAGATTGAGACCATCCTGGTCAACATGGTGAAACCCCGTCTCTACTAAAAATACAAAAAATTAGCTGGGCGTGGTGGTGCGTGCCTGTAATCCCAGGCTACTCAGGAGGCTGAGGCAGGAAAATTGCCTGAACCCAGGAGGCGGAGGTTGCGGTGAGCCGAGATCGCGCCATTGCACTCCAGCCTGGGTCACAAGAGCAAAACTCCGTCTCAAAAAAAAAAAAAAAAGATACTACAATGATTTTCGTTGATGTTGATACTACAGTGATTTTCGTTTTACTTGGGATGGAGGAAAAGAAGGAAAAAGAGGTAGGGGAGGAGGAGAAAGAGAAAAGAGTAACTAGCATCTACTGAACACATACTATGGGCCCTCTGCTGAGGGAGCATAACAATGACTCCTTCCGCAATGTCATAGCTTGCTATCTACATTTCACAGGTGAGCAGACTGACTTGGAGAGGAGAGTACTTGCCAAAGTTCATAGTTATAAGTAGTGGAGGCAGGATTCAAACCCAGGCCTTTCCACTACAAGAGATTCTTGTGACAAGAGCTTTCATGTCAACCCTGTGTTGTGGGACTGAGGGACACAATGATATTTGGATGTATGAACCATGCTGACTCTTTCTTTTTATTGCCTTTTCATTAGTCTTGTTCGTTATTCTGTCATTTGATTGCTTAATAGGCATTTGATGAGTGCCCAGTCCACACAGTATGTGTACATCATCACCTTCCCTCTGTTTCTTAAATCCTCAGCTGGCTTGGTCAGGTCCTTCCCAGTTGAGGAGGGTGTTGTGTGCACTTGGCCCCAGGCCTGAACTGTCTTGGAACAGCTGAGAGAGGAAGGCAACGTTCATTAGCCACAGCCTGTACATCATCCCTGATGCTCAGCCCTGGTTCTTCACCTAATGAAACAATCCCGTGGAATAAGCATTTGGTATTCATTTTATAAAAAACAGAAACCGAGGCTGAGATAGTTACAGTGACAGAGCCGTAAAGCATCAAATCTTAATAAAATGATACATACACTACTTCAAAGTGGCCACCACGTAAAAATGAACAATAATAATAAAAATCAAAGTCAACCATGTGAGCTCCGGGCTTCTCAAGGTCAAAGCTACTTATGATACTTACTCTTCCCCTCCCAAGGCCCTGAAAAATGAAGAAAGGAGAGAAGATCCATTATCAATTATTCACTAGTACAGGGAAGGTTGGACAAACAACTCAAATCGTATTTTAAATATTTTGGGGTCAACCAAACTTCCAGGGTACTCTGCCAAGCTTGTAAACCCTTGTTCAGTAGAGAAACCACGTGAAATGAATGGAAAACAGGCTCCACATGTGTCCTGCTCCTTAACATAAAAGTAAAAAAAAATGTATCTTTTCAAGAGTTGTTGGCCATGCAGGAAGTCTTTTGAGGGTTCCCCAATGATCCCCACCCCCAATATAGAACAGGAAAGAAATATTTCTAAAGTTAATTTTCCTTAAAACAGAAAATCAGATTTGTCACATGCTGTCATTCAGGTATTCAAATAGGACTCTGGGCTTGGAGATTTTATATATATAGTTTTTGAATGGGACTCCAAAATGGAACATTTCCTAAACTAAAAAGAAGATGAAAGGAAAGGAAGACGGAGTGAGGGACGAAGGGAGAGAGGGAATAAATGGGCCAAATCTTTTTGTCTTACCGTGGGCCTTCCTGAAACTCCAACCAGCACACGGTAGCATTTGTCTTCCCTAGGCCAGGGCTTGGGCAAGAGTAGGTAAACTGGGGGAGCCAGAACCCCGTGCATTTGCCGGCCTAACTCTGCTCCCTCAGCTCGAGGCCAGCACCACTGTCAAGAGCACTCCTATCGCTTTCTCTTTTTTCTCCCCCTTCCTCTTTCCAACGCTGGCACAAATACATTATTGAGCTCTTTATTGGTGCCAGAAACCGATCGCTGCTCTCATATACATCATCCAATTTATTCATTCATTTAATTATCAAATGTTTTTCAGCTGTGATTTGTCCCAGGCGCTGTGCTGGGTGTTGGGACACAGTGGTGAGCAAAGGGCCTTGTACCAAAGCTGGGGTGTAAAGCAGGGCACCTTGGGCTTGTCTTTGCCTTCTCTTCCAAGAGCAGATAGTCAGGGGCCAAAGGGCAGCTGCTGTTCTCTTTAGGAATCAAATGGGATATCACCTCTGCTTTTATTTTTTAGAGAGGGCATTTTTCTTTCATATCGCCCCTGAGAAGCTCTTTACTCCGACATATATTCATGTATTCATTTATTCACTCAACCAACAATAATTAAAATAT